GCAGCGCGGGGGGACGGGGAGGGCCCGCGAAGCGCCTCGCTCCGGGGGGCCCGAGAGAAGCAGCTGCCGCGAGGAGGGGCCCGTTTCACCGAGCCATCTTCCTCACCTCTATGTACATGAAATACATCATCATTATTTCTGTGCAGCCTACCGGTCTGCTGGGGAGGAGTGAGGTTACTTGGAATAAACTGTGTGTTTCTTCAGACTGCTGTTTATGTTAGACGAATAGGTTGAACTTTGCAAAAAAAATCGTTGCAGAATGAAATTCAAGGATGGGCAAAAAGCCTGGAGGTTTAAAGATCCCCCCAAATGACAGTTTAGTTACAGCAGCAAAACATACCCATCACCCTAATCTTAAATACAGATATATAAATATATGTATACATATGGGGTTGGCACAGCACTGGCAGAGAGGCCAGTGAGAAGAGCTCACCAAAAACTGGCAACACATCAAGAGAAGAGTCGTTTTCTGCCAGGGGAGCCCGTAGATGTGATTTATTATCGAGTTCCATGAGTTTACCCAGTGCCAGTTTGAGGCAGGAGGAGGCTTATGAAGGAAAATCATACACAGGCTGTAACTGTTCCAAATTTCACGCAAAACCACTGATCTGGAAGCAGAACCTGGAGTTTCTTTAAGAGCATCCGAACCATGGAGGAATTCCTTTACGTCAGCTACAGCACCTTATATTTATATATATATATTTGCAGGAGACACAGACTTCAAATGGGGGGGAATCCCTCCCAGATGGATCCCATGCCAGGTTGCAGTTACATACGTGGAGGAAGGAAGTGAAGAATGAATTGCCTAAGTGGAGGGAAACAACTATAAATTTCTATAAATTGCTAGTACAAGACCCCGAATGAAGGCCATGTGCCTTTATTAGAACTGCTCACATACCTATTACTTATATCTAACCAATTACTGCATATCTAAAAATGCTACCAGGTAAGAAACCACAACGATCCAAAATAATCTGCTCCATCCAAAACGTCCTGCATGGAATAGAAAATAACCCTAAACGCCTTGAACATTGTCCCTGTACAACCTTCTGTCAAGAGGCAGTTTAAAAGATAAACTATTATAACATAAAAGTTTAAATGTGACATTACGTGAGCGTGGGCTCTGTGGAGATGTTAATCAGATGAGATTTGGCTGTGTCCTTGCTTCATGCCTGTCTTGCTACGTTTGCTGAGTGACACTGATGCGGCTGTTCGGAGGGTCTGGGCTGAATTTCGGGTGAAGACAGATCACTGCGGAGTAACGGGGATAAAGAACAGATCTTGCTGCTTCCCAAAGCTGGGTCCTAATTGGAGCAGAACCCGGTCTAGGAATTGAGTTGTTTTTGATCCTGCTGCTGCGTCAGGGTGTTTATGTTTCGGTTCAAAATGAGCTAGTGTTAAAGCTGGGGCTTTGTGTGGCCCAGAATCACCTGCATGGTCTCTTGGTCTGCTCAAAGCGCTCGCTGTGTGACAGCGAAAGGACCTAGCAGCAGCCGAACCCTTCTGGGCTGTCTTGCTACTGCCCACCTCAACCTCTTCACACTTCTTTGTGTTAGCAGAATCCCGCTGTTGTCATCTTGTTCTTGTTCAAAGCATCCAATTTGTTCCCTTCACATCCTGGGAAGATGCTAATCCGGCTCCGCAAGTATCTTATCTCCCTTTTTTAGCAATTAGCCACGCTAATGAACTTGAGGGTGTTCATCACAGTATCATCTGCTTTATCCACAGGCACCCAAGTCTGATTTCCAAGAGAGGGAAGGTGTTTTCCAGTGAAGATACTGCTTTCTTCTTTGCATTGAGGATCTGAGGACATACTGTGCTCTGCCATGCTGAATTTGGTGGCGTTTTGTGGGATTTCATTGAGTTGATTTTTGATCACTGAGTTCATTTTTCCAAGCTTGCTCAAGAACAGCCTAAGGTGCAGTATCTGTTTCCGTTACCGTTTTGGAAAGGACTTTTCTCCTTAGTTGATTTGTTTTGTACTTGCTGATAGCTAGGTTCAAATCCAAGAAATGTTCTTATACCTGAGTTCATAACTGAAGGGGAATCCCAGCCGGAAATCCGAGTGGATGAGAGGCCACCAGCAGAAAACCAGAACAAAACTGCAAGGATCAGTGCAAAATGCATGTCCCCAATAGGTGGTGCTGCATCTTTTCCATAGTGTTGAATTTTTGTATTAGTGGACATGATCATCGAGAAAGGTGATGTTTTCTTCACTGTAGTAATCTGGTAATTTTATATATATATATATATATATATAAATTATTTCTCTTTTTTTCTGATCACCTTCCTTTTACATTATTGTTCTGCACAGCAGGCTATAGAATATGGGGAAAATCTAATACTTTATGTCTAATAGAGTGTAAGTTCCTCTCAGAGTCGCAAATCAAATCTACATGATCCTTCCTCAAGAAAAAGTTCTTACCATTCAGTTGTAAGTAATTTTAAGCATTCTCTGAAACATCATTTGTCAGGTGGAATGAATAACATTAAAAACATTAAAACAGGTTACAAGGTCTCAAATCAGTGTGTGCCTTGTTACTGCAAGGTGGGAG